TGAAAAATGTATTGATGGTTATAATTTTCCTTAAAAAATGTATTGCTGGTAATATTTTTTCTTAAAAATGGTATTGCTGGTAATATTTTTTCTAAAAAATTCATTTGCTGGTAATATTTTTTCTTAAAAAATGGTATTGCTGGTAATATTTTTTCTTAAGAAATGTGTTATTGGGAATATTTTTTTCTTAGAAAATGTATTGCTGGTAATATTTTTTCTTTGAAAATGTATTACTGCTAATATTTTTCTTTCAAGATGTATTGCTGGTAATATTTTTTCTTTAAAAATGTATTGCTGGTAATATTTTTTCTTAGAAATATGTATTGCTGGTAATGTATTTTTCTTAAAAAATGTATTGCAGGTAATATTTTTTCTTAAAAAAATGTATTGCTGGTAATATTTTGTACTTAAAAATGTATTGCTGGTAATATTTTTTTCATAAAAATGTATTCCTGGCATTGTTTTTTTCTTAAAAATTATATTGCCGGTAATATTTGTTTTAAAAAAATGCATTGCTAGTAATATTTGTTCATATAATATTTATTGCTGGTAAAATTTTTTTGTTTAAAAATGTATTGCTGGTATTATTTTTTCTTAAAAAATGTATTGCTGGTAATATTTTTTCTTTCAAAATGTATTGCTGGTAATATTTTTAAATTTCAAAATGTATTGCTGGTAATAATTTTCCTCAAAATATTTGTAGTTGGTATCAAAACCCATTTTTACACTTCCATAGAGTTTTGACACCAAAATTGGGGGTTAACTATTTGCCCATGTTTGGAACCCTAACAGGTGCTACCACCATGGCTCAGGGTGAACCTGGGAACACCAGCAATTAGGAGGCCTTGCTGTTGGACGTAGTTTATCGTCTTACCCAGGACGCGGATGTAGTTTATCGTCATACACAGGACGGCGGATGTAGTTCATAGTCTTACCCAGGACGCGGATGTAGTTTATCGTCTTACCCAGGACGCGGATGTAGTTCATAGTCTTACCAAGGACGCGACGGGATTGTAATAAAGCCTAAACCCATGATAAAACTTAAATTTATACATTTTTTTTCTTTTGCTCATGAGTATTTACACTAACAAATATTAAACCATATTTATTTATTATAATTCACGCTAATGTCTTTGGGAAAGACATTAATGCCGGTCTTTTCCTTTCTAAAGTTATAGGTTAATTAGCACGTTAAACTATAACAAACATTTCAATAGAACGATCACTTTCAATTCAAGGTTGTGGAGATGGCAAAGTTAGCCCACTTGCAACAAGTCATGTCAGTTCATAGGTAATAAAGGGTAAGGAGGATGTGTGATTGTCTAAGAGATAAAAGGATGCGGTATTAAAAAATAGCACGTGACAGGCATTTAATAATATCTATGCACTATTGATAATTATTTGAATTGAGAGTATACAGAACAAAGATATTTTTATTTATTTATTTATGAATAATTGCAAAATATATAAGCCAAAGAAATATTCATTTACCACAATATCCCATGGACATAAATAAATCATTCTTTCTTTTATTTTCCCAATGTTTTCTTTCTTTCCAATACCAATATTCTTTGTTTGTTTGTTTGTTTGTTTGTTTGTTTGTTTGTTTGTTTCTTTCTTTCTTTCTTTCTTTCAATTTCGCCGTGTTAGTATTCTTTCATTTTTTATTTGCTTGTTTCTTTCCTACTTCTTCCATTTCTTCATTCCGTCTTGTAACTGTTAATATCGTTTCTCTTTTCTTTCTTTATTAATTTATTTCTTCTTTCTTTCTTTCTTTCTTTCTTTCTTTCTTTCTTTCTTTCTGTCTTCCGAAATTTAATATTCTTTCTTCCTTCATTCTTTCTTTCCTTTTTCACATTATTTTCTTTCTTTTTTTCTTTCTTTCTTTCATTCTTTTTTCCAAAAGTTAATATTCTTTTTTCTTTCATTCTTTCTTTCTTTTTTCACAATATTATTTTCTTTCTTTTTTCTTTCTTTCTTTCATTCTTTTTTCCAAAAGTTAATATTCTTTTTTCTTTCATTCTTTCTTTATTTTTTCACAATATTATTTTCTTTCTTTCTTTTTTTCTTTCTTTCTTTCATTCTTTTTTCCAAAAGTTAATATTCTTTTTTTCTTTCATTATTTCTTTCTTTTTTCACAATATTATTTTCTTTCTTTCTTTTTTTCTTTCTTTCTTTCATTCTTTTTTCCGAAATTTAATATTCTTTCTTCCTTCATTCTTTCTTTCCTTTTTCACATTATTTTCTTTCTTTTTTTCTTTCTTTCTTTCATTCTTTTTTCCAAAAGTTAATATTCTTTTTTCCTTCATTCTTTCTTTCCTTTTTCACAATATTATTTTCTTTCTTTTTTCTTTCTTCCTTTTTTCTTTGTTTCTTTCTTTCTTTTTTTCTAATATTAAATTTTTTCCAATTTTTCTCTCCTTTCCCAATGTTAATATTATTTTCCTTTTCATTTTTTTTCTTTTTTGTTTATTTCCTTTCCTGCAACTTTTCAAGTATCTCTTCGAAATTCCTCGCTGTAATCATTTTTTTTTCTTTTTGTGCTTTGAATCTCATTCATTTAGTTATTTTTTTCTTCTTACATGTTTCTTTATATTTCACTAGTTTAACATTTTTCATTTCTGCCTTTATTTCATTCCTTCTTTCTTTTTCCTTTCTTCTTTCTTTCTTTCATTCTTTCTTTGTTTTTCTCGTGGTTACTGTCATTTGTTAATTCCTTTCTTTTTTATCCTCTTAATATTTTTTACCTGTTTCTTTGTTTCTTTTTTTATTTTCTTTCATTTTTCTCAATGTTAATATTCTTTCTGCCTTTCATTCTTCTTTTCTTTTTTTTTCTTTTCTTTGTTTTTTTTGTGTCTTTCCTTCTTTGGAAATGGAATATTATTTTTTCTTTCTCGCATTTTTTACAATTTTAATGTTTTCTTTCTTTCTTTCATTCAGTCTCTATTTCTTTCTATCATTCTTTCTTTCTTCCAAAGTTTATTTTTTCTTTCATTTTTGCCTTCCCCAATATGAATCTTTCCATTCTTTCGTTCCTTTTCTTTCTTTCTTTCTTTCTTTCTTTCTTTCTTTCTTTCTTTCTTACATCCGAAAGTTAATATTTTTCCTTTTCATTTTTCAAAATATTAATGTTTCCTTCCTTTCTTTCTTCCTTCTTTCTTTCTTTCTTTCTTTCTTTTTTTCTTTCTTTCTTTCTTTCTTCCAAAGTTTATAGTTTTTCTTTCATTTTTGCCTTCCTCAATATGAGTCTTTTCTTTCTTTTGTTCCTTTTCTTTCTTTCTTTCTTTCTTTCTTTCTTCCGAAAGTTAATATTTTTCCTTTCTTTCATTTTTCACAATATTAATTTTTTTTTTCTTTCTTTCTTTCTTTCTTTCTTTCTTTCTTTCTAAGAAAACAATTCTTTGTTAATATTCTTTCATTTTTTATTTGTTTGTTTCTTATTTAATTCTTTCATTTTTTTTTATTTTTTTTTTCTGTTTATCATTTTTCTTTTTTTTTTTATTAATTTATTTTTTTTTCTTTTTTTCTTTCTTTCTTTCTTTTTTTTTTTCTTTTTTTCAAATTTATTTCCTTTTTTTTTCTTCTTTTTTTTTTCTTTTTTCTTTCTTTCTTTTCAAATTCATGGAATTTTCACTTTTTTCAATCATTTTTTTTTTCCAGGTTAATAAATTTTTTCATTGTTCTTTCTTTCTTTCTTCCTTTCTTTCTTTTTTCATTTTTTTTTTCTTAATTTCATACATTTTTTTTATTTTTTTTTTTTTTTCTTTTCAAATGTTTCCTTTCATTTCTTTCTTTCATGTTTTTTATTTTTTTTTTTTTTTTTTATTTTTTTTTTTTTCTTTCTTTCTTCCGAATTTTAATATTCTTTTTCTTTTCATTCTTTATTTCCTTTTCACAATTTAAAATTTTTCTTTCTTTTTTTTTTTTTTTTCTTTTTTCTTTTTTTTTTTTTTTTTCTAAGATAACAATTCTTTTTTAATTCAATTCAATTTTTTGTTATTACTCTTTCTTTCATTTATTTTTTTCTTTCTTTTTTTTTCCATTTCTTTTCTCTGTTTTAACTGTTAATATCCTTTTCTTTTCTTTATTTTCTTTCTTTCTTTCTTTCTTTCTTTTCAAATATGCATTTTTTTTTTTCAATCATTTTCTTTTTCCGGGTTTTTTTTCTCATTTTTTCTTTCTTTCTTTCTTTCTTTTTTCATTTTTCTTTCTTAATTTGCATTTGTTTTTCTATCCTTTTTTTCTTTCTTTTTCATTTTTCTTTTCATTTCTTTCTTTTCATGTATTTTATTTTTCATTTCTTTTTTTTTTTTTTTTCTTTCCTTCCATTTTTTTTTTCTTTTTCTTTCTACTTCTTCCATTTTTTTGTTCTCTGTTTTAACTTTAATATCCTTTTTTCTCTTTTCTTTCTTTTCTTTCTTTTCTTTTCTTCATTTTTTTCTTTTCAAATATTGTTTTCCTTGTCCTTTCCTTTTTCATTTTTCTTTTTTCCGGTTAATTTCTTCCTCATCATTTCTTTTTTCTTTCTTTCTTTCTTTTTTTCTTTCTTTCTTTCTTTCTTTCTTTCTTTTCATTTTTTTTTCTTAATTTGCTTTTTTTTTTTTCTATCCTTTTTTTTTTTTCTTTCGTACATTTTCCTTCATTTTCTTTCTTTCCATGTGTTTATTTTCATTTCTTTCTTTTTTTCTTTTTTTTTTCCTTCTTTCTTTCTTCCGAAACTTAATATTCTTTTTTCTTTCATTCTTTCTTTCCTTTTTCACAATATCATTTTCTTTCTTTTTTCTTTTTGTCTTCTTTCTTTCTTTCTTTTTTTTTTGTTTCTAAGATAACAATTCTTTTTAATTTTCATTCAATTTTTTTTTCATTTTTATTTTCTTTCTTTTCTTTCCTACTTCTTCCATTTCTTCGTTCTCTGTTTTAACTGTTAATATCCTTTTCTCTTTTCTTTCTTTCTTTCTTTCTTTCTTTCTTTCTTTTCTTTTTTCTTTTTTTTTTCAAATATGCATTCCTTTTCTTGGCCTTTCAATTTTTTCTTTTTCCGGGTTAATTTCTTCCTCATTGTTCTTTCTTTCTTTCTTTCTTTCTTTCTTTCTTTCTTTCTTTTCATTTTTTCTTTCTTAATTTGCATTTGTTTTTTTTTCTATCCTTTTTTTCTTTCTTTCGTACGTTTCCTTTCATTTCTTTCTTTCATGTGTTTTATTTTCATTTCTTTCTTTTTTTCTTTTTTCTTTCCTTCTTTCTTTCTTCCGAAACTTAATATTCTTTTTTCTTTCATTCTTTCTTTCCTTTTTCACAATATCATTTTCTTTCTTTTTTCTTTTTGTCTTCTTTCTTTCTTTCTTTTTTTTTTGTTTCTAAGATAACAATTCTTTTTTAATTTCATTCAATTTCGCCGTGTTAATACTCTTTCATTTATTATTTGCTTCTTTCTTTCCTACTTCTTCCATTTCTTCGTTCTCTGTTTTAACTGTTAATATCCTTTTCTCTTTTCTTTCTTTCTTTCTTTCTTTCTTTCTTTCTTTCTTTCTTTTCAAATATGCATTCCTTGTCACTTGGCCCTTTCAATCATTTTCTTTTTCCGGGTTAATTTCTTCCTCATTGTTCTTTCTTTCTTTCTTTCTTGAATTTTCTTTTCTTTTTTCTTTTCTTTCTTTTTTTTTTTTTTTTTTCTTAATTTTTATTTTTTTTTTTTTTTTTTTTCTTTCTTTCTTATTTCCTTTCATTTCTTTTTTCTTTGTTTTTATTTTCATTTTCTTTTTTTTTTTTTTTTCTTTTCTTCTTTTTTCTTCCGAAACTTAATATTTTTTTTCTTTTTTCTTTCTTTCCTTTTTCACAATATTTTTTTTTTTTTTTTTTTTTTCTTTCTTTCTTTTTTTTTTCTAAGATTTCTTTTTTTTAATTTCATTCAATTTGCCGTTTTTTCTTTCATTTATTTTCTTTTTTCTTTCCTACTTCTTCATTTCTTCGTTTCTCTGTTTTTCTTTGTTAATATCCTTTTTCTTTTCTTTCTTTCTTTCTTTTTTTTTTTTCTTTCTTTCTTTTCAAATATAATTCCTTGTCACTTTCAATCATTTTCTTTTTCCAGGGTTTTAATTTTTTCTTTTCTTTGTTCTTTGTTTCTTTCTTTCTTTCTTTCTTTCTTTCTTTCTTTTCATTTTTTCTTTCTTAATTTGCATTTTGTTTTTTTTTCATCCTTTTTTTTTATTTTTTAATACGTTTCCTTTCATTTTCTTTCTTTCATGTTTTTTTTTTCATTTCTTTTTTTTTTTTTTTCTTTCTTTTCTTTTTTCTTAATTTTAATATTCAAGAAAATTTTTTTTTTTTCTTTTTTTTTTCATTTTCTTTTTTTTTTTTTTTTATTTTTTCTTTTTTTTTTTTTTTTGTTTCTAAGATAACAATTTTTTTTTTTAGTTTTCCAATTTCGTGTTTTACTCTTTCATTTAATTTGCTTCTTTCTTTTCCTACTTCTGAAATTTCTTGTTCTCTGTTTTTCTTTAATATTTTTTTCTCTTTTTTTTTTTCTTTTCTTTTTCTTTTTTCTGGAATTTGTCACTTATTTTTTAATCATTTTCTTTTTCCAGGTTAATTTTTCCTCATTTTTTTTTTTCTTTCTTTCTTTCTTTTTTTTTTCTTTCTATTTCTTTCTTTCTTTTTTTTTTTTCATTTTTTTCTTTCTTAATTTGTAATTTTTTCTATCCTTTTTTTTAATTTTTTCCTTTCATTTCTTTCTTTCATTTTTTTTATTTTCATTTTTTCTTTTTTTCTTTTTTTTTTTTTCTTTCTTTCTTCCAATTTTAATATATTTTATTTATTTCTTTTCTTTCTTTTGTTTATCATTTTCTTTTAGATTTTTTCTTTTTGTCTTTTTCTTTCTTTTTTTTTTTTTTTTTCAGATCAATTCTTTTTAATTTCATTTCAAAAAAAAGCCTGTAGCAATTTTATTATTTTGTTTCTTTCTTTTATTCCATTTCTTCGTTTCTGTTTTCTTTTGTTAATATCCTTTTCTCTTTCTTTTCTTTCTTTCTTTCTTTCTTTTTTTCTTTCTTTCTTTCTTTTTCAAATATGCATTTTTGTATTTGCCCTTAAATTCATTTTTTTTTTAATTAATTTCTTCCTCATTGTTCTTTCTTTCTTTTTTTTTTCTTTCTTTTTTTTTTCATTTTTCTTTTTTAATTTGCATTTGTTTTTTTTTTTCTTATTTTTTCTTTCTTTCATTTTCGTTTCCTTTCATTTTTTCTTTCATTTTTTTTATTTTCATTTTTTCTTTTTTTTTTTTTCTTTCCTTCTTTCTTCCGAAACTTAATATTCTTTTTTTTCATTCTTTTTTTTCCTTTTCACAATATCATTTTTTCTTTTTTTTTTTTGATTTCTTTCTTTCTTTCTTTTTTTTTTTTTGTTTCTAAGATAACAATTTTTTTAATTTCTTTCAATTTCGCCGTGTTAATTTCTTTCATTTATTATTTGCTTCTTTTTTACTTCTTCCATTTTTTCGGTTTCTTGTTTTCTTTTTTATCCTTTTCTCTTTTATTTTCTTTTTTTTCTTTCTTTCTTTTTCTTTCTTTTTTTCACTTTAATCATTTTTTTTTTCAAATTTCTGGTTTCATTGTTCTTTTTTTTCTTTCTTGATTTTCTTTTCTTTCTTTTTTCTTTTTTTCTTTCTTTTCATTTTTTTTTTAATTTGTATTTGTTTTTTTTTCTTCCTTTCTTTCTTTTTTTTTTTCTTTTCTTTCTTTCATGTGTTTTATTTTCATTTCTTTCTTTTTTTTTTTCTCATTTCTTTTTTCTTGAAACTTAATTTCTTTTTTTTTCATTCTTTCTTTCCTTTTTCAAATATCATTTCTTTTTTTTTTTTTTTTTCTTTTTTTCCTTTTCTTTTTTTTTTTTTTCATAAGATAACAATTTTTTTTAATTTATATTCGCCGTCAATTAAAATTTATTTATTTTTGTTTTTTTTTTCTTTTTCCATTTCTTGTTTTCTCTGTTTTAACTGTTAATTTCCTTTTCTTTTTTTTTTTCTTTTTCTTTCTTTCTTTTTTTTTTTCTTTCTTTTTCAAAATATGCATTTCTTTTCATGTCATTTTCAATCATTTCTTTTTTTTTTTAATTTTTCCTCATTTTCTTTCTTTCTTTTCTTTCTTTCTTTTTTTTTTCTTTCTTTTTTTTCATTTTTTCTTTCTTAATTTCATTTGTTTTTTTCTATTTTTTTTTTCTTTCATTTTTTTTTTTATTTCTTTCTTATTTCATTTATTTTATTTTCATTTCTTTCTTTTTTTTTTTTTTCTTTCTTTTTTATATATTTTTTTTTTTTTGATTTCTTTTTCTTTTTCCTTTGTTAAATCCTTTTTCTTTTCTTTCTTTTTTTCTTTCAAAATTTTCAAATTTTCTTGTCACTTGGCCCTTTTCTTTCATTATTTTTTTTTTTAATTTCTTTCATCCATTTTTTTCTTTCTTTCTTTCTTTTTTCTTTCTTTCTTTCTTTTTTTTTTTTTTTTTTTTTTCTTTTTTTCCATTTTTTTTTTTTATCCTTTTTTTTTCTTTTTTCTTTTTTTCATTTCTTTCTTTTTCATTTTATTTTCATTTTCTTTCTTTTTTCTTTTTCTTTTTCCTTTTTTGTTAGATTTCTTTCTTTTCTTCTTTTTCTTTTCTCTGTTTTAACTGTTTTTCCTTTCTTTTCTTTCTTTCTTTCTTTCTTTCTTTTCAAATATGCATTCCTTGTCACTTGGCCCTTTCAATCATTTTCTTTTTCCGGGTTAATTTCTTCCTCATTGTTCTTTCTTTCTTTCTTTCTTTCTTTCTTTCTTTTCATTTTTTCTTTCTTAATTTCCATTTGTTTTTTTTTCTATCCTTTTTTCTTTCTTTCGTACGTTTCCTTTCATTTCTTTCTTTCATGTGTTTTATTTTCATTTCTTTCTTTTTTTCTTTTTTCTTTCCTTCCTATTATTTGCTTCTTTCTTTCCTACTTCTTCCATTTCTTCGTTCTCTGTTTCAACTGTTAATATCCTTTTCTCTTTTCTTTCTTTTTTCATTTCTTTTTCTTCATTGCTAATATTCTTTGTTTTTCTTTCTTTCTCATCCGCACCACTTTTCATAATGGTTTCTTTTATTCTTTCTTCTTTGCTGTACCCATAATTTCGTGGCATTATGCTTTTTATCTGATTTCCATTAGCCCTCTCCATATTTACACTTCCAAAACCAATGTTTGTCTTCAAATTCCCATCGAATCGATTGCATCTTCCTGAAAGTCGAACCCTATCGTTTCGAGTTCTTACTAACCTTTCCCACCTCAACATCAAACAGGGCGATTTTTCGGCAAACAAGAGTTCAAGTCATTCAACGTGTGGCAATACATGGCCACCGACCTGCGTAGGCCGGCGTTGCCATTTCTGCTCGGTTTTACGAGTCTTTGAAAAAGTTCAGCTTTAGCTAAGGTGATTCATGTGTGCAAATGTGAGAACGCCAAGAGAATGTGAAAGAATCGACAGCGTGAATGCAAAATTCCAGCATGGGAGGAAGGGTATCGGATGTGAAGGAAAGGAAATGAAATAAAAAATATATATATATATATTTATATATATATATATATATATATATATATATATATATATATATATATAGAGAGAGAGAGAGAGAGTGAGAGAGAGAGAGTAATAATAAACCGGGTTTATTGTATTACCAGATATTTAAGTCCATAGCACAGTTCGGACCGAAAATCTTTAATAAGATTTCCAGGCAAATCAATTGTTATATAGTGGTCATATCTGTCTATATTACTGGAGCATTCAGGCTCTCGTGAACCGTAATCGTGTTAAACTGTCCGATTCATTTGATCTCTTCCTGCCTCAAAGGATCAATTAATACAATTGAGTTTTCGAAGATTATAATGAAGAATTTACTGGTCCGAAAGTCTTGTCACCCCTAAATAATATAATTTTATATTTCAACGGTCTGTGGGGTTTTATCAAGGAGAGAGTTTCGCATGAATGGTACGAGAATAGCCATCAGTTGAAGGACGTCCTGACGAGAGCCTTTGCAAGAATCAACAAAGCACAGATTCGTAAAATATCATAAAGGACATGTCGCCGCATCATTTTGTGCAACGAAAATGATGATGTTCCTATAGGCCTTCTCGATGAGTGACAGCGTCAATGAAAATAAACAGAATCCAATACATGTACTTTGTATTACTTCTATTGCTCTGGTTATTTTCTGGTAGGGGTGACAAGACTTTCGGACCACCCTGTACTGTGGCCAATAAATGGGGGATGTGTTTAATACTAAATATCAATACAAAACTGATCCCTCACTTTTTATTATCCTTTCATTTGATTACCTATGAGGTTGTTTTGTAATTTCATCTATGAGTCTACAGTTTTCTTCTCACCCCTACAAAATATAATTTTCTATTTCAGATGGCTGAATTTTCATTGACGCTGTCACACATCGAGAAGGTCTCTTTGATGTTCATACAGAACTTCTCGATGCGTGACAGCGTCAATGAAAGTGAATAAACTGAATCCAGTCCATGTGATTTGTATCTCTGTATTTCTTGATCTTCTATTGTTCTCATTATTTTCTGGTAGCGGGTGACAAGACTTTCGGACCATTATGTACCATGGCCAAGAAATGTGTTTAAATACTAAAGAACAGTACAAAACTGATCCCTCATTTTATTATCCATTAATTTGATTATCTATACGGTTGTTTTGTAATTTGATCTCTGAATCAAAGGGTGGCCTGAAAGTCGTGTCACCCCTCCATAATATAAAATTTTCTGTTTCACATATGCTGACACGAAAATGATGATGTTCATATAGACCTTCTCGATGTATGACAGCGTCAATGAAAATGAATAAACTGAATCCAATACATGTGCTTTGTATTGTTCTTCAATTGTTCACATTACTTTTTGGTAAGGGGTAACAAGACCTTCGGACCACCCTGTACCATGGTCAAGAAATGGGGGATGTGTTTAATACTAAAGAACAATCCAAAACTGATCCCTCACTTTTTATCATCTTTTCATTTGATTACTGATAAGAATGTCTTGTAATTTCATCTATAAATCCAGAGGATGGTCCGAATATTTTGTCACCCTACATAATATAATTTTCTATTTCAGATGGCTGGCACGAAAATGATGGTCTTCATACAGGCCTTAGCGATGTGTGACAGCGTCAATGAAAGTGAATAAACTGAATCCAATACATGTGCTTTGTATTACTTGTTCTTCTACTGTTCTCATTACTTTTTGGTTACGAGTGACCAGTACTTCCGACCATCATATATATATATATATATATATACTAGCAGCATGGCCCGGCGTTGCCCGTGCTTGATTCAAAAATCGTACGATTCATACAGCAATCGCTATCACTTGACTTAAAATATATTTGCCTTTAAAGGAGTGCCTTTTTCCGTGCTGATGTTGCTACATGCCTTACTTCTTGCCTATCTCAAACTGAGAATTTTTTTCTAAGCTCTATACTAAACATTAAATCTGTTATGAAAAAAGAACTAAACAAAATGAACACAAAACGATCAGCTTTAAAAAAGAAAAGGACTCGTAACTGGAAAAACCGAATGAAAAAAGAATGTTAACAACAAATACTTTTTCACACCCAACCCAGTTCTGCGGAATCAGAATCAACGTTGAGTCTAAGCAAGCGAATGAGCCAATTGGAGTAAAGTGCCATGCAGATTTAAATTTTTCCCATTTGTGACGAATGCAGCTATGGATTTTTTTTTTATTTTTTGCATGCTAGCATGCTAGTTAACATTCGTGTCAGTCAGCTGTTGGCTCTCACGCTGGCCAATAGAATCTTCCTGCTTATTCGTGGCAGCCAGCTATAGGCTCTCACTTACTCTCACGTGTAAAAAGGTTAATGGAAGCATTATTAATAAAATGTAAAAGCTAACATTCAGTAATATCAATTATGTACAAGGCCACATTGTGCTGATTGTGTTTGGAAAATAATGTATCCCGTTTCACCCTAGATACAGACATAAAACAATTCCTACATTCAGTTACAAGAAAAAAATAAAATTTATTCTTGATAATAATTATATATAAGTATAGACAAAAGCGGTAGTATATATATAAAACATTTGGACATCATATTGATATCAGTAAAACAAAATTTGAAAATGATAATCAAAATAAAATTAAAATAAAATTATTTAAAATGTAAAAGTGATAATTAAAATAAAATTAAAATAAAATAATCTAATTTTTGAAAATGATAATCAAAATAAAATTAAAATAAATTATTTGAAATTTGAAAACGATATTCAAAATAAAATTAAAATAAAATGATTTGAAATTTGAGAACGATAATCAAAATAAAATTAAAATAGAATGCTTTAAAATTTGAAAATGATAATCAAAATAAAATCAAAATAAAATGATTAAATTTTGAAAATGATAATCAAAATAAAATAAAAATAAAATGATTTAAAATTTTAAAATGATGATCAAAATAAAATGATTTAAAATTTGAAAACGATAATAAGAATAAATATGATTTAAAATTTGAAGACGATAATCAAAATAAAATTTAAAACGATTTAAAATTTGAAAATGATAATCAAAATAAAATGATTTAAAATTTGAAATCGATAATCAAACTAAAAATGATTTAAAATTTGAAAATGATAATCAAGATAAAATTAAAATAAAATGATTTAAATTTTGAAAACGATAATCGAAATAAAATTAAAATAGAATGCTTTAATCATAAAATGATGCATCTACTATATATATATATATATATATATATATATATATATAGATGAACATTCTCTACTTATTTTTTTATAACCTTATATATAGGATCATGGAATTTAAAATTTTGAATTGAGATTTTAGTGAGGAACACGCCTCTAACTTAAAAAATGCTGGATACGCCCTGTAAAAAACACAGTTCCTTGTCAGTCTTTTTTTAATAAAACTTGCATATATATATATATATATATATATATATATATATATATATATATATATATATATATAGTTGTATAGATATATGTTTGTAACCCTGGGTTTCATGCTTTTGCGATCATCAGATCTATTATTATTTTTTCCTGAAGAATGAAGGCATTACATCAATGCGCTCTCAAAAAACTTCGAAGTTGACATGATTGAAATAACAGCACTCGATTAAGTGACAAGTTTTTACATTATATATATAAAATATATATATATATATATATATATATATATATATATATATATATATTATGAAATCGGAAAATGTCCGAAATTATTTAAAGACATTTTTATGTTTATACATTCTTTGTCATAGATACAAATATTTAAGTAAACGCTATGTTTATAATAAATTGTTTATTATAAAACAGATTATTTACTCAAATATTTGTATCTATAAAAAGAATGTATAAACATAAAAATAATTGTCGGACTTTGTCCATTTCATAATGTGTGACGTCATTTGTTTACATTTGGGTACGCTTTGAGCATGTACGCGAGAGATTCATGGAAGACTGAAATTTAAAAGCAGTAAAATCGACCTTGCTAATCAAACGGTCCTCCCTGGCTCGATCGGTTAAGGCACATCAGGCTATATAATGGTTCCTGTCGGAGGACATATATTTTCTATGAAAGTTTCTCGGACATTCAGGCCGGTAAATTTTATTAATACTGTTTATTATAAAACAGAGCATTTACTTATATATGTGTATCTTTAATAAGAATGTATAAACATAAAAATATCTTAAAATATATATTGGGATAATTTCAAGGAGGATATTAATCTAAAGAGAGCTCAATGTAAACTATAGAGCATAATAATAATAATAATAATGATAATAATAATAATAACTCAAGAAAATAACAAGCTCTACCAATCAATTTGCGGTAACTCTTTCAAGTCTGTTCACACACCACATCATCCGATGTTAAAACTTGTTTAACCCTTTAAGAAAAAAAAAATCTTGACCAGCTCTTTCTATTTTAATTGTACTACTATGTACCAGTATCAAATATGAGAAAATAGTGAAACTCCATACTAAAACAAAACAAAATGAAAC